AAACAACGCCATGCATATACACGTGAAAGCAAATCTGTCGCCATGGAAGGAAAACTTCATTCTGATCTATTCGCACAAGACCGTTATATTCTTGGTGCTGTTCCAATCAAGATCAAGCTGGTGAGATCTAGAGATCCGTTTTGTTTGGTATCATCCGCAGAAGATCCCAATTTCAAAGTGGTCATCGAGGAATGTTTGTTTCGTGTACGACGAGTTAACGTAGCCCCTAACATTATACTGGCTCATTCCCAGTCCCTTCAACAAATCACTGCCAAATACCCAATCAACAGGATCGACTGTAAGGTTGTCTCCGTACCTCGGGGGAATATGTCTGGAAATCAACCTAATATATTTCAAGGTGGTTTACCTAATCGTATCGTGATTGGAATGGTCGACGCGGATGCCTTTAACGGTACATATACGAAGAACCCGTTCAATTTTAAAAATTACGATATCACAACCATGGGTCTCACTGTCAACGGAGAGAACTTACCTGGAAAACCACTACAGTTGAAATTTGGAGCAGACAGTAATTACGTTTCTGCTTTTCAAACCCTGTACGCCGGCGCACACAAGATTTTTGATAATCAGGGTAATGGTATAACACGTGAAGAATGTGCAAACGGCTATACAGTGTTTGTGTTTGACCTCACTCCTGACTTATGCCTTGGTGATCATGTACAACCGATTAAGAACGGAAATGTGTCAATTGAATGTCGATTTGGAACACCGTTGGAGACAGCTATAAATATCGTGGTACTTGGTGAATTTCAAAGTCTTATCGAAATTGATGCGAACCGGAACGTGCTGTGTGATTTCAACAACTGAAGATGAACTCGCTGCAGATTATGAACATTCTCAAGAATGATCCATTTACAAAAACGGTGTTTACGGACGTTTTACCGTCAGATCGTTTACCTCGCGGAATAAGAAAGAGGCCTAGAGGGTACATACTTAACACGGACGCATCGGATATGCCAGGATCACACTGGATTGCAATGTACCTTACAAGGGGAATTTTGGGATTCGTATGGTCAGGCTCCTGGATTTTACAATCAGAACTTTACTCAATTTTTGGACAAGCATTGCGCTACATTTACATGGAACAGAAGAATTGTGCAAGCCCCTTCATCAGACGTGTGTGGGCAGTATACATTATTCTTTACTTTACATCGATGTAGACGTATTCCAATGTCAACCATTGCAAATATGTTTACGGATAGCAAAGAATGGAATGATGAGCTTGTGCGTGACTTTATAAACAAGTGGTACAAACACTAGATTTAGTTTAAAAACATTTATTGTAAAATATTCTCTTACAAGAAATAAATTATTTTAACCATTTATATGGACTACTAATATTGTCTCTGCGGTTTTTTCTCTTTTCTTGCTGCACTCGAGGGGTGGTGGGTAGATTTTCCGGGATACCTTTGGTTTTCTATTCGCGAACAATTCCAAGACGGTTTTCGTTTCTCACAATACCTTCGGGTACATTCAAATGCCCGAGAACTTTTGAAAACAATTGCCAGCCGTCGGGGTTGAAATTCTTCCTTTGACGTAGAGAATCATTCACCAAATCAACTATATTTGTGCTAGGAACCGATCTTCCTTTGAACACCATCTGGCCTTGTTCATTCCAACCAACATGCAAGATCTTTATTTGACTTGAGTTTTTTGATGAGTTGTCGAGCTCTTGACTTCATAGTAGCTGGTACACTATCCATGATATCTGTTTCAATCTCGTCGGAGGGTTCAGTCTCTTCACTCGGCTGTTCTCCTTGAGGTTCTTCAGGTTTATCGGCGTGCGTCACGTTTACTCGGAGAGGTTTATTCATTCGTTTATCATAAAAGGTTGAATAGCGTTGTATATAGCGTTGGTATATCTTGTCGTCGAATAATATCCTGCATGTCCGAGTCTATTTCGTTGACCTGTGTCGCCAAAGGCGCCGCGAGAGGTTTCTTTCGCTGTTCAGCCATATGTTCAGGGACAAGTACTAATCGCTTGACGTGCTCCATTATAAAAAGTTAGCCAACTGTTCCAAAACTGAAGTGAGTAGAAATGGTAGGAAACCCTCCCCTTTTTGGACTAAACGGGTTCTTCTCTTTACGATAGGATTTCGTTTGTCAGCCGCAAACTTTATATGCTTGGAATGTGGTGCGAGTTTTCTAGCTGTTTTCGGTTTCAGTTTAATCGTGTCAAACCAAACGTTTAATAGACACTGTCTTATAGCTTCAAACAGATCGTCTTCAGCCGCTTTCAAAATAGCTTTTCTCAGTTCAGGTTTACACTTGGCCAATACTTTCAGAAGTTCGGAGTTCCTCTTCATACAAGCAGACATGATCAAATGAACATTTTACACACGTTCTCACATTTTTATACTCTGGGTTGATAGACATAATGCGTGTCGGTTGGAAAGATCCCGGATCGAATCCGTATCTCGTCAGGACATGTAGGAGTTAAGTCGACAAATAGATAAGAATAAGGTTCTTTCGTTGCCAATTGATACGCTTGTTGGAAAAACTTCGTTTGACTCTGGTATAGCTGTTTTAGCGAGATGAGTAACTTGACTTACATCGCGAACATTTTTGTTAAACATAAATAACTTGCATTGAGAGATATTGTGCGATGCTCTTTGCTTTGGTGAAACAAGTTTTGCACAATGTAGATTACGCTTAGATTACCATGGTGGGATTTTTTCGTGAACAATTTAGAAATCACTCCGTCCTTCTCACCCATCATATCGTCAATGATGAACAAATTGCGTGTTTCTGGATTGATACTATCCATTATATTATCCGGCAAGCCTTGTATGAATTTTATACCAGGCACTAAATTTTGTATTTCTCCAAACGCGTCTTGATATTCGGCATATAAGTAAATAATGTTTTCAGGCGTTGGATCAATCAGCATATTGACATAGCTGAGAAGCCTTTTCACAAAGGTATAGTTTTGCCTGATTTTGTACCGCCAGAAACGAGAAGCCCAAACGGGTGTCTTAACTGTATGGAGTACATGATGAAAATGAAAGCAGATACTTTTCGATCAGTCTATTTATCTTTTGCAACTCGATCAATACCGTTGCTTTATCAATAGGCATCTCTCTTGAGTAGATAGTTTATGAACATTGGTTAAATGATTAGATAATTTTAATAAACCTTTCTTTCCGCACACGGGACAGACCTTACGCGTTCGAGGCATGCTATCAAATGAATGTTTCCGAGCATACCACCACCTAAATAGTCCCTCCGGGGACTAATTTTTGTCCCCGGATGTCCCCGACACAGAAGAATGTCCCCATGGGGCCATAATTACCAATATTACGCCCTATTATAGCCGATTGTCCCTCTACAGATAGTCCCTTTGGGGACTAATTTTTGTCCCAGGATGTCCCCGGCATAGACGAATGTCCCCAAACATAATTACCAATATTAGTCCCTAATATAGACGAATGTTCCTCTAAGGAAAAAATCCCCAAAAGTCCCCGCAGCTGTATCATTACACACATAACTTTTATGTTTGAAATCATTTATTAATTTAAAAACCATAAGGCAATGTATCAAAATTATTTACAATCACACGTTTATTATATACAATACGATAGTCCTTGTTCTCACTCCTCGTCTTTACACTTTTCTCTTTAGTGTCTATTTATTTTGTATGGTATATTTACAGTTATGCTATCTGTGAGATCAGACAACTCTTCTAAACAAACCATATCACACATTAAATTAAAATTAACATTTTGTGCAGTTCTGTAGTTGAGGGTGATCCCTCTAACTTTGCATACTGTTTTGTCTGTGTTTGTCTCGTAGGCATAGTTTTTAGGACCTCCAGACACAAAGGTGGTAATGTAACCTCCATCTAACTCATCTGCTAATTGACCAAGATAGGATCCCGTCGTCGGCTCCCATTCGTCTTCCTTTGAAACATAGATGACTGAGTCTGTGTCAAAATACAAGACTCGGCGATTTAACTGCTCCAGGACACCATAGAGCTTGAGGCGGGCGTGGGCTGTGGTGAACGCTGCGATGACTACATTTGTCTTTCCATCGGCTTCCACGAATTCGTCAACGTTTTCGAAATGGACTTCGATGAGCTCGTCATTGATGAAATTCGCGTCGGTGACGTTAATCTGATCGCTGGATAGGAGGTCAAAATATTCAGCTGGATCCGACATGATTTTGACCTTGGTCATATTGGGTCGTTGCGCAAACTTTCCTACAAGAAATGATAGGTTTTTAACAAACACTTGTTTTTTTCCCTAAGAAAAACAAGTACCGTTAGTGGACAATTTGCCATTGCACTTACCCCAAAAAGAGTTCAACATGAGCTTCGCCAACGCCCTCAGACCAGGATTCTTCACAATCTGTCTTGGATCCAGCTGAATACCTTCTTTTGCGGCGTAGTCAGCGATGTACTGCCCCTTCTTTTCGTCGGTGTCACATTCCGGCGGAAAGCCACTCGCCTGCAAAAGAGAAAGGATTAATAAGAAACTAATGATGTGACAATATCACACATATGATGAAGCCTTACCTCTTGCTTGATTTTGAGGAACGTATCAATATAGTCCTTAAACAGTCCATCCGTATGCTCGGGGAAGTGCCAAACTTCGTCGATTCTCACCAGTTTGTAGCCTTTCTCCAATGCTTTCTCGAGCTCCAAAGTCACCCACGTCCCATGAAGTGTTCGCTCGGCGTCGCTGTGATGGCAGGGTTCTTGTTGAAGGTTGTCGGCACAGGTACGACACAACGGGAATATCAATTTACCCTGAGTACGGTAAGGGAGGACGGGGTGGTATAGGGCACGAGGAGGAAGCACAGAACATTTCACCAAACCAAAGTAGTCACTGATGGGTTGAAAGTTCTCAGTAATAATCTCGGGATGGCCAGTTGGATACTCGCCGTATTTGTTACACCTAAAAAATGCTTAAGAAGGTTAACGACAAACACGTTTGAGTTAAAAGACTTTAACAAGATACATACCATGGGTAGAGGCTGCAGAAATCGACATAGCGGATCTTCTCTTCTGGCTGGACGTCGTAGTATAGGCGTGTTGCGTTAGTCCTTCCACCAAAGAATGCATGACGAGGTTCCAGAGGTTCAGAGATCTTGAAATTGTCGAAGAAATCCTTCATCTCGGGTTCGTTGGCAAGTTGATGCTCAATATCACACGTCCAAATCTCTACGACATTGTGTCCGTTGTCCTTTAGGAATTGGATTTTCTCTAGGGTTCGCTGCTTAAGATCTTGCATGGTCATATGGTTGATCGGATTCACGGTATCTCTGGCATAACACCTTTCGCATCCATGCCACAGGCATCCTTGAATTTCCCAAACAGTGTTTGTCTCAACGTTGAAACCATCGACAAGATATTTGCCAATGCGCTGTTCTCCGTGGTTCCGGGCGCGGCGAATTGCAATGTTATCACGTTGAGCGACCCAGGCCAGCATCTTCAAGGCGATGACAGACTGTTTGTTTTCAGGCTTGTATCCGCAAGGAGGAATGACGGCGATGGTGTTCTCCTGGAGAAACGTTTTACGGAAGACGAGATTACAAGCAGAGGCAATGGTGAGACAAGAGGCAAAAGGGTCAACATCTGTAATTTGATGGAAAAGTTCGCGGAACTCGAGACAACAGCGACGCAAAATGTCCACATCGGATTGACAGTATCGCAGAATTTCGGCTTGAAAGTCGAACTCGTACTGACGCTGGGCTTGGTTGTTGTACCATGTATAAAACTTTTCGCGGTCATCGCTGCTCATGCCATCAGGATGGTAGAACTTCGAGTCTGGAAGAGGTCCAACGTAGTCCTGGTTCTCAGCACGGTTAAAGAAATGAGGGAAGTAACCTTTCTGAAGCTCTGTGAGACCAAACGTTTTCGGGAAGGCGGCGAGTTTCATTGGGATGAAACAGAGAGAATCAATAAACTTGATGTTCATTTCGGGGACAATGAGCGAAAGGATTTTTGCGCCACGGGTAATGATTTCTGGAGTGATACCATTCTTGTAAAGGTATTGAAGGATGAAGTACCCGTCGTAAGCCTGGAAATTATGCGCGACAAACGTCGTATTCACTTTTTCCTGTTGAAACATCCACTCGCAGAACTCGTCTTTAGTGTTTGGGCCAGAAAAGACTTTCTCGTCACCGCTTTCGTTCTGGACTACGCACAGATTGGGGACGTGTTTAGCATCGTCTTGCGTGCACTCAAAGTCGAAGAACATCAAGTTTTTGGTGTCTTCTACGTCGTTTTCCATGGCCACAGCATCATCGAGCAAATCGTTTCCTTCTTCAATTGGTCGTGTCTTCTTTGCCTTTACAGGTTGAAGATAACATTGATGGTTTTCAGGCTTGACGTATTTTTGACAGGTGGAACATCTGACTTTGCCACAGTGATGATCACGAAGACTGGCAAGAGTAACAACACGTTTGCATTTCTTTCATTTAATTAAAGCACGACACAGGGATTTGGCAGGGCCGGCGTCATCTTTATGGCGGTTGAAGCATTCGTCACTTTTAAAGAAACGGTTACAGTCTTTGCAAAATTTCCATTTAACGATGGGACAGTTTTGGGTATTACATAACTTGCACAGATCGCCAAAGGGATGGTCAGTAATCTTGTCGTAGCCCTTCTTGCATTTATGGCAATACTGTTTACGGGCGTGGAAGGCAGGCATACTTGTGATGACATCGTAATGGTTGTCATGATGGTACAAATATAGGTGTTTTTCAGCTTCAGGACCTGAGTAGATGAGGGCATTCAAATGTTCCTTGGAGATCATGTTGAGTTGATAATCAGGAAGAGCAGTTTGGAACTTCTTGACTTCCGGGATGCCACAAGGACCAAGAGGAACACCCGCTGACTCGTGAAGTTGATGAGCAAGGTTTCTTTGAAGAGGTCTTTCGTGCTTAACGATACTCTTGTACTGTGGGTCTTTGTCCAGCTTTGCTTTGGCCACTACGATCGCGCGGGCACAACAGAGTTCATCTTTTTTTTTATTTGAACGATACAATCTTTTTTTCTTAGGAAACTTTCCAGGTTCACAACATCACGCTTACGACCGGTGCCACCCTGAGGCATTTCCACATGGACCACGTTGACGCTGACCGAGTCATCCAAAGTAAATTAGTCATTGGACTGCACGACGCGCTCGACAGCAGCCAGGAAACGTTCAGGCGTTAGACGATCGCGTTGTAGGAAAGGCAAGGAAATGGATTTGTCCAGCTGATCCGAGTTGAGGATCAAGCGAACTTGATCGTGAGGTGCCATGTCACTCGTGAGTCGGTCAAATAAGTGTTGAAATGCGCGGTTCAACGTCGACATGATGTTTGACACCCCGTGCACGTCCAACGGATTGAATTGAACAGTATAGTCTGTACCTAAAAACCGTAATACACTATTGTACTAACCAAGTAATAGCAATCAGAAGACTATGGTTGGTAACAAGTAGCCTTAAACACCCAACATTTCATGAGACGTGTTTACAGTACAAGCCTTGCATTAGCCTTGGCCTACGTTTTGACAGTGTAAACAGACTTTGGCCTAGTCTTGGCCTGGCCTATAGCTGGAAATCTGGGCTCACTACAAGTGGTGGCCTAGAGCAGGTCTAGGCCTAGGCTTGTGGAAATGTAAACACGTTCGGCCTGGCCTACGTCTTATTTTCATGAAAGTATATCTAAATAGTATAAAAATAGTTCAATTTGCACCCCAGGTAAATATAGATACTTGTTACGTCAAATGGAGAGATAATGAGCATTTTTGCTGTAAAACTCAGATAAAGTATATATCGTTTCGGACTTGTGTAAAAGTGTCAATTATCTGTTCATTAGGCAAGATAAATAATTTGTCAAAGTTGGACGATAACCTTGCATGGTGGGCTGTTGTGTTTACATAATTCAAAGTCCAAGGCTGGTTCTTCTCTGACATGAAAATGTGCATGCTTAGGGCCTTTCTGTCAATCATTCTTCGGTATATTTCGCGCGGTTGAGTAATTATAACATTACGTCATCAAAATTTTGGTTCGATAAAATTGTAAGTAAATTTAGTTTAGTAGGTAAAGTAAGGTTCACATAGGTATAGTTTGAAGTTTTTACTATGATATTTTGATGAGTATTTTAAGTTGTGAACATATTTTAACATTGATCGATTGAACAGCGAACCGACCCGACAAGTGCGACAACGCCTTAAATAAACAGAATGTGCGAGCTGGAACGAGCTAGCAACGCCAACCCACACTTTTAAACCTCAACGTTGATTGGCTGGATATAACTCACACCACTTGTTAGATCACGTGTGCAAGATCCCTCAACCGTTAGTATAAAAGGGCATGCACAATCCAAATTCGTCAGTGGTTGATATCTCAGTAATCTTTCAGTGGACAGTGGACTATAGAGTGAAGTGAGTGAACATAGACTTGCTATAGTGGATTCTCAGTGGACTATAGAGTGAAGTGAGTGAACATAGACTTGCTAGTGGACTCTCCAGTGAACTATCGAGTGGACTCAACGAAGTAAAAATTATGTATGAAAAGTTGTAGAAAGCTCAAACGAAACAAGACAAAACGAAGAAATTAACGAACAGATCACGAACAGTGAAAGCCAGTTGAAGGCTGAAGTGAACTCTTGAAAAACTACTGCAAGAAGACGAACATTAAGAACTGATAGTTATTTAAGATTGTTGTAAACGATTCCCTACCTCGCGTAAAAAAGAAATAAAATATATATATTTCTAACACGTGTGTCCACAGTGAGAGATTAACGGACAACCAACGGTTAACATGATTTATATATCTGATTGCAGTGAACGAACAAACTTTAAAGCTATCACGGTTAACATGATTTATATATCTGATTGCAGTGAACGAACAAACTTTAAAGCTATCACTCATTGGACATACAATAATCATCATAGAGATTACCCAGTGATATAGAATAATCCACCAGAAAAGAATACCTAAAAACGGGGGGTCGTGGGTTGTACAAACAAGGCTATTTATCGGATAGCGCTATACTTTAGCTACAATTCCAATCATAAGCCCTGTAAATACTAAAGCTTCATTTGAAAGATATGGCCATTTATAAAAAGCTTATGCGTTGGATAGGTTTGTACGGCCAGTTATAGATGTACACACAAGCAATAAACACAACTCTTATAAGGCCGTGTTTTCACTATACCAGATTCGCCGTTCACTACATCTTCTTTTGCCGTCACGGAGCAATGGCTAGTAGCAAGTGCTTATTAGTTTGACAGAATTGGCATGTATATTTGGGTCTCTGAGATTAAAAATCTTCACAGCCTTTCGATACCTACAAAATTTGACCCACTCCGATAGCAATCCGGTATAGTGTAAACGGAGCATAATAAAAACGAAACCCTACTCGCACGTAATGTTACCCGTTCAACTATTACGCGAAATACTACATTTTGTCGGTTTAAATATCGTTTTTATAAAGCTAGTAAAAAGTACAAAATTCAAGCATGCTGCTTCGTCACGTGACTGTCTTTCTACAGCGTACCCAAGACAGAGTGATCTAAATTGGTCACGTCCCCCACTGTAACAGGTTTTAAAGTAGTTTACACCTACTTATTATCGTAAAGTTCATAAACCAAATACTAATAATTGTTATAAATTTAAACGTCTAGTAACCCATGTTAAAGGGCATCAAATAATGTGAGTTCCAGCACGGACATTGGTAGATTACTGGAGGGTAGAAGGGATGAGGAAATGGAGGGGTCCACGGAGAGAACCATGGTGGTGGAATAAATGGCGCCGGTGGCGGCAGTGGGTAACTCTGTGGATAGGTAAATGGGGAAAAGGTTGGTGTTGCATTAACTGACGACACGAATTGTTCTGGGTTTCCAAGGTGGTTGTAATTTAAAGGGTTTGGTGCATACCTTACTCGCGTACTCCGTCGTGTTGGTGGGGCAGGTGGGGATTCGGTTGCAGGTTGCATTGGTTCTTCATTTTGTTGCTCTTCCAGCTGCGTGTTCAGGTTAGGCTCCTGAGTGTTCTCTGCAGCTTCGTTTTGCGCTATATCGTCTGCTGGATCCGCCGTATTAGGTTCACTTCGATCAACCGCTTCGTTTCCTTGTAATGAATCATTTTCAAAATTTCTCTGTTCAGGTAATATTTGAATCAAAATCTCCGAGTCATCATGCACTATCACTTTCACACTGTTCTGCTGTTCTGCGTGCAGTTTCAATTGGGCCTTTACCCTTCTTTTCAACGGATTTTGGAATTGTTTTTTCTGGTAGTTCCGGTGTGAGTGGTAGGAAATCGCACGGTAACAAAAGATTCCGATGAAGTAATCGTTTCCTTCCGTCTTTCGCTTCTGGTTTCACTTCATACACGGGACTGTCCGGCGTGCAATTTACAACAATGTGAATGTCTTTCTCCCAGTGCGATCGCAACTTCCCAGGACCACCCCGTTCACTTAAATTCCTTACTAGTACACGATCACCAGGCTTTAACGTAGAATATCTCGCACCTTTATCATAATGTCTCTTTCCTTTTGAACTGTTTTTAGTAGCATGTTCGCTGGCGAAAGTATAAGCGTCATTCATTGCACTAGACCACTTTTTCACATAATCTTTGTGGTTGAGTCTGTCTTCAACTTTGTTACAACCAAACATCAAATCTATCGGTAATCTTCGAGAACGACCGAAAAGTAGGAAAAATGGCGAGAAACCGGTAGCATCATTTCTCGTGCAATTATATGCGTGGACAACTTTCGAGACATGTTGGTCCCATCGTCTTTTCTGATTCTCTGGCAGTGTCTTTAGCATGGACAAAAGCGTTCTATTGAATCTTTCTGCTTTACCGTTGCCTTGTGGGTGATACGGTGTTGTTCTCGATCGAATTATCCCAGACGATTTTTCTAATTGATGAAATAATTTATTCTCGAACTCCCGTCCCTGATCATGTAGAATCCGGCTTGGAAATCCGTATTTAAGAATAAAATCGTTGTACAGTTTTTCTGCGGCGGTTCGCGCTTCTTTATTCTTGGTTGGATACGCTTGTGCGAAACGAGTAAAGTGGTCGACTATTACGAGAATGTATTCGTAGTTCGTACCCGCCAGTGCTTCGTTCAAGGTGTAGGAAATCCATTGAGACGAGTTCAAGTGGCGCATAAGTAGTTATATTTTGCAATGGGGCACGAGTTTTCTTCGCTGGAGCTCGTTGTTTCACACAGCTACATTCCTTGGTTACAAAGTGCGTAATGTTCCTTTGCATGTGTGGCCAAAAGAACCTTTCCCTTGCAAGCTCAACTACTCTTTCAGCTCCCAGGTGACCAATATTCTGATGAAGCTCTTTGTAAACTGTCATACGATAACAATATGGCAGCACCAATTGCATCACTGGTCCTCGTTTTCTCCTCAACATTCCGTCAGTTCCTATTTCTAATCTTTTCCATTCTCTCAGCAAAGTTTTAGCCTCTGGTGTTAGACGGTTTATCTCTTCCTCTGTTGGGTATGTGTTCTTTGCCTTTAACGTGCGGATTTTCCCGATGCACAGATCGCTGTCTTGAGCTCGGATAAATTCGTTAGGGTCCAATTTTTGTAGTGCACTTAATTCGGGTATTAATTCGCTTGTGTTCAGTACCTCGGGATTTGCTGTGATCGCAGTAATCCACGGTTCTTGTGCCTGAATTCCAATCATACACGCTTGTACGCTGTCTTGCGAGGTTTCTTTGGTGCACAATTTCATATATTCATCTATGTCCATTGGCATTCTCGATAAGGCATCTGCGTCCTTGTTTGCTACTCCAGGTCTATATTTGATGGTAAAGTTGTAGTCCGCTAATTCTGCGACCCAACGGTGCCCTGTTGCATTTAATTTCGCACACGTTAACACGTATGTCAATGGGTTATTGTCCGTAAATATTGTGAACGACTTGGCATAATATAAATAATCGCGGGGGACTGAATGGTGTCTTAACAAAGGTATACTTACCTTGGCATATAACATGCTCAGGTTTACCCCTGACATTGATCTATTTGCTTCCAAAATCAACCATCAATTCAAACCCTACGTAGCATTTAGACCAGACCCCGAAGCAATTGCCATTAATGCCTTTCACATGACATGGGCTCAATTTGCTTTCTATGCTTTCCCACCATTTAGCGTGATAATGCATGTGCTACAGAAAATCCAAGAAGATCAAGCCTCAGGGATCCTAGTGATCCCATATTGGCCAACACAGATATGGTGGCCGAAAGCAATGAACATGATTGTCCAACAGCCAATTGTCTTGCCAAAAAGCAAGGAACTATTATCCCTCCCCAACCAACCCAACGAGATACACCCCATGTACCCAAAGCTTTGCCTGCTGATATGCCACTTGTCGGGATCAGCTCAAAAAGCAGGGTTTTTCGGACACAACTTCAAGAGTCATCCAAAACTCTTGGCGACCAGGGACAAAAAAGCAATATGCTTGCCACATTAAGAGATGGATATGCTACTGTAGTAAAAGGGATATTAATCCCATTTGTCCTGATGTGAGAGATTGTATTAATTTTCTCGCAGAACTTCTGGACTCGTGTGTCGGGTACAGTTCCATCAACACTGCACGATGTGCACTTTCATCAATAACGAACATGTCTGCTCATTTTAGCTTTGGTACACACCCTCTAATGGCCAGGTTCCTGAAAGGAGTTTTCAAGTCTGCCAAGATACCAAAATATATGGGACATGAGCATTGTCTTAAATCACCTTAAACGGTCTAAAATTGCCAAAGAACTGTCACTGAAAGACTTAACTCTAAAGCTTGTCATGCTAATGGCACTTTTGTCTGGGCAGCGATGCCAGACTCTGCAATCATTAAGTATTGACAGCATGAAACTTGGTGATGATGAGTGTGTTTTCCACATTAACAAACTACTTGAAACCACGAAACCTGGTTCCAAACCACTAAAACTGCATGTGCTTTAAGGCTTTTCCTCTGGACAAACAATTATGTATCCTACATCACCTGTTGGAATATATACAACGCACAAAGGTAATCAGGGAAAACACAAGCTCCTTGTGGCTCACCAAAAGCCCCACAAAGCGGTCTCAACAGATACCATAGCGAGGTGGATAAAAACTGTCTTACAACAGGCAAAAATTGACATTTCAGTATTTAAAGCTCATAGCATTAGAGCTGCCGCCACATCAGCGGCAAACCTAAATCAGGTACCTATAGACATTATCATGCTGGTTGGTCAAGTGAAAATACCTTCGCAAAGTTCTACAAGAAGCCCACCGTTGACCAGGACACCAATTTTGGTGAAACTTTATTAAACTCTGTTTATGTTAATGTTTAAACTAACATACTGTTAGACTGTGGCATATACCACACAAATTTCTAGTTACTACGTACACATTGGTTTTGTACTGTTATACAATAAATCTTGGTTCCAGAATTTGCAGTGATTGCACGGCTTTGAAGTCTCATGTGACTCCCTAGTGACGTAACTGATGACGAAATAGAATTTAAAAATTAAACGAGACTTACCTGTAAGTTGAAGTTTGATTGTAATTCTATGAGTTATCAGTAAGGAACTAGGGAATCACCCACCCAACACACTATGTGGCCAAACTAGAGCTGGCAAGCCCACCCTTGTTGGGTTCAATCACTACTGCTTCAAAGGCTGAATACTCGATCTGCGCATGCATATCTCATGTGACTCCCTAGTCCCTTACTGATAACTCATAGAATTACAATCAAACTTCAACTTACAGGTAAGTTTCGTTTAATTTTTAAATTCTATGGAGAGTTTTCTCATTCTTTATTGACATGTTTTGATGGAGTATATTCATTGATTACTTGGGTATGGTAAAGTGTAAAATTTCCTGTGATTGCAAGGAATTGGAGAAGGGGAATTGTTCACATGAGGTACTTGCTGGATAAATTTTACACGAAATTTTGGTTGTTTGCAATTTTCATCCAACATGCAAAGATCTCCTTGTGACGTTGTTTCAACATTGAAATTGGGTAGAAAAGGGTTTTGATGTCGACAACCTAATCTCAATGTCGTTTCAACGTCAAGAAAGTATAGTGTCTATCCAATTTTGTCAATCCTTTTTACACTGGCCTGTATGCCTAGTGTCTTAAATCCCTCTTTTTCTGTTTTTTCCTGCTTTTTTTTCATAGTCGAGAAATCGAGTTTGCGTTAGATCATCGCAGGCTCAGGGTGCAACAATTAAGCCAAGTCTAAAGTTCATCAATGAGCGCGGGCGTCGGTCACCAACGATGTTGAGTGGGTGGTCATCCTCATTGATCTCAAAAAGCTGGCTGATTGCTTGTAGGAGTGGGATGAGCAAGATTTCAATTTTAAAAGACATATATTTGGAAAATCGTTTCATACACAACAAGCTTGAAGCAATTTTGTTTGAAGAAATGAGAAAAATTGATTCACTATGGGAAATCGTGAAATATACGGCAAGTTTGCTTTGAATATTTAATGTTTAGTATGTTTACGAATTTTGTTGCTTTAAACTTTTTACCTAAAAACATGAACTGTTTTCCTTTTCAACGAAGGTCTAAGTTTCATAAATTAAGGTTTAATTTGAGAGAAAATCGTAAAATGTAAAGGAGAACAAATTGATTTGAAGACTGAACTGAAATTACCTAACAATTTGTATTATTTTCAATATGAATTAATGTGTTTTTCTTTGTGTAACGACTCGAAAACCCTTAAGGTTTGACAGTTTGACTTTTTAATTAACAAGTATAAATATACGTTGTAGACTCATAAACATGCGTTGTGCACTTGTGTTCATTTGCATAATTATAGATTTGCACTTAATTACATTAATTTGCACCTAATTACATTAATTTGAATTTGCACCAAATTACTTTCATTTCATCATATATTACTATAAAAATGTATTTTTTCGATTGTATTCAGCGAGGTGGCGTTGCGTGCGGCGAAGTGAAACGTGGCATGGTTCGATTTTGGAACAAGATCCAACTCCCCCCCCCCCCCCCACTTTTCTCAAATTGTTTATTAGATGTTTACTGGTTGGGATTAGAGAGGGGCTTGGGATTGCGATCAGTTTATCTTATAAATGGAAGCAAATTGGCGTATTTTTTAGAAGAATCGTCTATGGCTATGAACTTTTTAGCACCTGAAACGAGCCAGATAATGGCATTAAAAATCAAGGACTAGTATAACTTCTTCGCTATTATTGGCCCATCATTATTTACGGTTGATAGTTGTGATCATAGTTACAGTGGGCCTGACTTGTCAAGTTGAGTTGTCCGTAGCTGGAGGGTACGCCTGATCCGGCGTCTTGGTATATTATGGTTCATAGTTGCTGATCATGATTGTATTTATTGGTTGTATTACACCCTACCACGAAACTTGCCATTTTCAGGCCAGTGGGAACGCCTGAGCAGGCGTCTTGTTCAACATCAATCTAAAATCTGGGAGGTAATGTATGTCCAACGTTGATGCAATGCTGAATCAACGTCGTTTTGTATGAGGCGCGGAATCGGACATTATTCTGAACTTATTATATAACATGCTAAATTCAAAATACATATGGCATATTTTACATACACAGTGATAATTTTCAAAAACTTGTGCTAAACTTATAAAGGCCATTCTAAACATCATCATATACATCCAGAACTTCTTGCATCGTGTTGTCAAATTATATAACTTATTCTAAACTTTTAAATAACATGCCAGAATTTTTTATAACATGCCAAACTTTAATTGTGCCGCGACCCATTTTACATCGTATTCCAAATTTTTATGTGACATGCTAAACTTTTATGATATGCTGAAAGCACTTTTATATCGTGTTGCATAATGCATTGCGGTCGCGTGCCTGCACAACCCGACAAATCACAGCCTGTGCCTGAGCTGAAAATCGGCAAATAACTAAATAAGTGGAAACCTTCGAACTGCGCTTTGTAAATTGTAAATTGTATTAAATATTGCTCATGAAGCTAGGAACTTATTGGACAATTTCGACGATCGAAATAGTTTGGCAATCTAGAGGCAGTTGATGCAATCGACATCAACAACAACTCAACCTGCTCCAGAAGGCGACAAAGAAAGAAGTGTGACGGTCGTAGGCCAATAAGTACAAATGCGAGTAATATAAGGCCATTCCATTTAATATCCACACCCCCCTGTTGACGAGATTTTTCGAAGGGAGTCTGAAATTCTGAATTTCTGAGGGGGCGCTAAGTAGAATTTCCGAGGGGGTTATAAAAGGACAATTTCTGAACGGGTCAACTTTTTTATAATTTTCAAGGGGGGAGGGGGGAGAGGAAGATACTACCTGTTGACGATAATTTCCAAGGGGTGGTCAATAAATTTCCGAAAATTTCTGACGGGGGTGAATAAATCAGTCGAAAATTTCCGAGGGGTCTATCGTAATTGAACCACGTCAACAAGTATTTCCGAGTACCCTGGATTCCAGAGCCTTCAGTAAATAATAAATTGAAACGTCGTGAAGGCTCCGGTTCAACGGGAGGATTCTTTGATTAAACCGCGCCAATCACAAAACAGAATTAGTGGTTTTAGTACAGATACTGTACAGATCAAAGGTACAGATTCTGTACCAAAACCACTAATTCTGTTTTGTGATTGGCGCGGTTTAATCAAATTAAGAATCCTTCCGTTCAACCAGAGCCTTCACGACGTTTCAATTTATTATTTACTGAAGGCTCTGGAATCCAGGGTAATTTCCGAGGGGCTTGAGAAAAATCGTAAATTTCCGAGGGGGTTCTACAAAAAACAGCGAATTTCTGAGGATGTCTCCCGAAAAATCGTTTCCGAAAGTGTCTAAAATCAGTAACCTATAGTCAACAGGGGTGTGTGGATATTAAATGGCCTTATATTACTCGCATTTGTACTTATGGGCCTACGACCGTCACACTTCTTTCTCTGTCGCCTTCTGGAGCAGGTTGCGTTGTTGTTGATGTCGATTGCATCAACTGCCTCTAGATTGCCAAACTATTTCGATCGTCGAAATTGTCCAATAAGTTCCTAGCTTCGTGAGCAATATTACAATTTACAAAGCGCAGTTCGAAGGTTTCCACTTATTTGCCGATTTTCAGCTCAGGCACAGGCTATGATTTGTCGGGTTGTGCAGGCACGCGACCGCAATGCATTATGCAACACGATATAAAAGTGCTTTCAGCATATCATAAAAGTTTAGCATGTCTCATAAAAATTTGGAATACGATGTAAAATGGGTCGCGGCAAAATTAAAGTTTGGCATGTTATAAAAAACTTTGGCATGTTATTTAAAAGTTTAGAATAAGTTATATAATTTGACAACACGATGCAAGAAGTTCTGAATGTATATGATGATGTTTAGAATGGCCTTTATAAGTTTAGCACAAGTTTTTGAAAATTATCACTGTGTATGTAAAATATGCCATATGTATTTTGAATTTAGCATGTTATATAATAAGTTCAGAATAATGTCCAATTCCGCGCCTCATAGTATTGCACTGCGAACTTTGTATGTTTGAAGTTGCTACCCAAAATCAAATTGACAGTTTTGGTGGGTATGTGCAGAGGATCAAAAATTGTATTCTGTGATGTTTTCATGAATTTCTACATGATTATTTCAGTAGAATCGTGCCATAAAGTATATGTGCCAGAGTTATAGTGCATGGGTTTATATAAAAACGCCAATTTGTTATTTTATGTGGCAACTTGAATATGGATGTGGCTCCATGTTTAATGTTTGTATCTATTGAATGCTATATGTAGGGCATGAAATTTACGTTTTAGCTCTGGATAGCTCTAATAGTTTTGTTTTTCTCACTTTTGTGCTCTGAAAAGATTTCTGTGCACTTTGCGTTTCACCTTAAAGCCGGTTTTCCACTAGGCGGAATTTTCCACGCGAAGTGGAATTTTTCTTTGTCTTGTTATTTCTCGGATGGAACTAATTAGAAAAGACGAAGAAAAATTTCGCTCCGCGCGCAAAATTCCGCCTAGTGGAAACTGAAACTCTTCACATATTTTAGCATATGATACTAAAATATTTAAAAAGGAATTCAACAAAGCTTCTATTTCACAATTTGCATCACAAAAGACATGGAATGCCCATAGTTTGAACAAATGAATGAATGAATGAACAACTTTATTTAAAGAGGGTAAAAACACATGACAGCAATATAACTGAAAAACCTGTGGCCCTCATATACAATACATACAAAGTTATTAATTCTACTTTAAAACGTCTAAAAGCTATTTAGAGTAAATATGTAAAAGATCTTAGGATTATAAATTTATATATACAAATTATATACAGTACAACTTGCTGATCACAATAATAATTCAAAGCGATCGATGCCCTTAGTTTAGGATGTACATACCCACAAACCCAGGCAAATTCCTGAATTTGCAGGTGCATCACCCTCAAATAGCAAAATTTTGCAAATATTTAATTAATTTAACAATGTAAATAAATTTCCCTCAAGGCAGACAAATTTGTGGAATTTTTCAAACTGTTGCCTCTCGAACACTGGCATGATATTGTGAAATTTATATCTTATTAAAATTAAACATAAAATCTAGTATCTTGTGGATATCAGGATACCGCCAATTCTGTTCCCTCAGATATGCATATCAATTAACAGCATAACCTGTAGAATATCAAGTTTACACATTTCTTCCATTGTAACAAACATAGAATTCCGTATAAATGGAGGTCCAACCCCTCTTCCCCCCTCCCCTTTCTTCAAGAGCAATTTTGTAGTTCTTTCAAAACTGAGCAGAAACTGGGAGGTGTAACCTGTTGTCAGCTGTGACATAAAATATACCAAATCTATGTCTTGCAGATTTTCTTAAAATGAAATAGAAAAAAATGCCCCTGGCTGGCTAGACGATTACAGCCCTCAGCCCCCACTCACTTGGGACTATATGCACTTGTTGGTGTACTGTATATAGTCAAATCTGTATTTTGTTAACCTAGAGTTTAAAATCAATGTGCACAGTAACAATGCTTGGCTGCCAACTGTCATCCTTGTTTGAACGGGGATAACTGTATTTCCAGCTTAGTGTTAATATGGAAGCATTGATTTTATGACCATGCAAGGCAGAAAGATCTGCAGAAACAAAAGTGTGACAATATATTAGCCACCCTAATAATCTGCAAGGTGTCTGCCGTATTATAATTTTACACTATCAATCTGTATGTATAGTGATAAGCCATTAATGCATATAGGTTCAGAGGTTTTAATTCACGACGGCTGAACGCGAGCACCACCTGAGTGCAGGCTACAGCTTCAGCGAAACAGGAAACCTGCAGGGTATAAATATATGATCACAGGGAAAAAATTAAAATACTATTTTAGGGGTTGAAATGAGCGGGCTTCAGATTGCCAGTTGCGGCCAAATTGTTCATCTGGCGACCAGATATTTCCCAAAGGTAGTCCTTGTGGCGACAGAGAAAAAAACTTAAAATAATAAAGTAATTCTAAAGCCTTAAACTCAGTGACCATGCATTCTGTTTTTGCATAAAATTTGCCAACACATTAAACCACTGATATTAAATTTGGCAGCCGCCAGCAATTATTTTGAAAGCCCTAGACAACGTCAAGCCCTCTTTAACCCTGTTATTTAGTAATAGAATGTGATATATTTAATATTGTTTCTTTTTTTATCCAGAAATTTGGACTCGCCGTACAGTGAAGACATAACTGTTGGTCCCAGTGAAGAAGCTGAAACTTATCATAAAGGTGGCGATCATGATGGCAATCAGCGGGAGTTAAGTAGTAGTAGGAGTAGTGGTAAAGGGGCGGGAAAGAGAAGGATGGTACCTCAGGGGAATGGTGGGGTAAGTAGAAAAAAAAGTAGGTTGGGTAGGGTAGGTGTTGGCAGGGTAACCATGGTTACCAAAGGTTATGATAACGTAGATATTCCTCATGAACTCCCACCATTTACACCAAGCCGCCCAACTGGTATTCATCTTGAAAACCACTTGGAGGATGGTATGGCAACAGAATTAGATTTCTTTAATCTCTTTTTTACCAAAGATATGATAGATTCTATAGTCACTCACACCAATGCATGTGCATATATTAAACTGGCTGAGGGAGGTTATTTGACATATGCCAACGGTCAGGGTGCTTGGGATGAAACCAATGCTGAGGAAATACGTTGTTTTATTGCACTACTTATTTACTTTGGTTTGGTTAAACTAGATGTTGTAGAAAAGTATTGGAGCACCAAAAGTCTATATCATGGGCTTTGGGCAAGAAAGATTCTCTCCCGTCAAAGGTTTAAAGCTCTTATGACATTTTTGCACATTGCGGACCCTGCTAGCGAGAATCCTGAAGATACAGTGTGTAATATTGAATCTTTTGTGAAATTGTTCAAGAACCAATGCAAATCGTTGTATCAACCAACACAAAATATGACAGTGGAAGAACGTATGGTGGGTTCCGGGGATAAGCCTGGTATTTATAGGCGATACAGAAGAGCTGATACCACAACTAGATCTGGCATAAAACTCTGGGTATTAGGGGATACTTCGAATGGTTTCATAGTTGATTTTAACATTTACATAGGTAAATCTGCATATGGTGAGGTGAGTGAGAATGGTTTAGGATATGATCTAGTTATGAAGTTAGCAACACCATATCTCAATCAGGGATATCATTTGTATCTTCAAAAATGTTTTACTTCCTTTAAATTGGTAAGTGATCTATTCTCAAATGGTACACCATCAACAGGTGTGGTAAGTGTTGGCAAGGTTGGATTCCCTACCTCTTTGAGCGATGTGAAAGAGTGGGCGAGGACTGTGGAATTTGGTGACATGAGATGGGAGCGTCTATCAAATATTTTGACGTTGCAGTGGCTGGACCATCAACCTATCTCAATACTCACTACTATTGATAGTGCAAATGAGGTGGCACTTCTACACAGGAAAGTTAAGAGAGATAACAAGTTAGAAAAAATTGATGTGAATGTGCCCAAAGTTATTCAAAAATATAATCAGTGTATTAATAAAGTTCATAGATATGATCACACTGTTATGTCTAATAACGTGTTACAGAAGTGTTATAAGTGGTGGAAAACTTTGTTGTTCCATTTAATTGATATGTCAGTTATTAACAGTTTTATTCTTTTCCAGGAACAGCGAAGAAATAATCCTGATAATAATGGTCTGGAACGTGGGGAGAAGTATTATAGCATAGTTGAGTTTAGAGAGGCGCTAGTGAGGCAAATTTGTGGTTTAGCAGATTATGATGTGCCTCCATCCTATGTGAGTGTAAAAGCTGTTCACGAGTATGAAACTATCCATATTCCGAAGGTAGCAAATGTCAGAAGAGTTTGTAGGCTATGTTACAAGGCAGGGCGGGGACAGTTAAAGGTTTCAACTTATTGCTCAGCGCCACAATGTCAGAATTTTCTGCACATTCAATCCGACAAGAATTGTTTTGAGGTATGGCATACAAAGGAGTATCATCAGCAGTGATGTGTTGTGCATGGGATTTGCCTTCGGTGATTAGGTATTTTCGTCGGCGATCATGCAAAAATTTCCAAACTTCAGGATAATACATGTACCATATTCTTTAATTTTTGTGTGCTATTGTAACTCTGGCCCCTTTTAAACTACAGAACCTGAGAACCACTGAATTTTTTTGTAAATGGTAACTACATGTATGCTCCCATGCTTGGGTACTTCCACAGTTCCACTTTTCCACGTTCTTTAAAATAAAAAGTGATGCATCTCAAATTTGCACTCCTAAAGAAATTCCTGTGTTCGAAACGCAGAAGTATTATTAACGATTCTCATTCTGACGAGTAGCGACATCCTGCGATTTCGTATATCTACACTGCGACTCAACTCCACAGTTTTAATTAAAATAGATCTGTATTAAAACAGCATCGTATTCTCTACTTCTGACAAAATTATGCAATTTTCTAAAAGGGAAGAGAACTGTTTCTAAACTTTAAAACTCCATGATTGGACGAATCAAATGATCTGTGTCGAAATACTCGACTATTAGGCTATTCAATCATTCATTTGTTTTCAACATACACACACTTTCGAAAGCACATGGGTGCATGTAATGTATGTGAGCGTAATTCAACATTATTGTCCTTTTGAATATTGGCCTTTCTCACGAAGGCTAAAATCCGCCATTTTGGAGGTATTGTCTGCACTCGTGAAAGATTCTTGACAATTCAAACAACGTGAAAAGCGACTTTTGAAGGTTGTATTAACTGTAAATTTATCATTATACAAACAACTACAATACTAAAAAGTTGTATTTCGTGGTGCGGAGACTCTCAGACGTGGGAGAGGTAGTACCCCCAAAATGGCTGTAAAATTGGCGGTGAGAAAGGCTAATTGAAGGTGAATGCGCTTGTCATTTTCTGGAGTTTGTCTACTCTCACATGTTGAGTGAAAACGTGAATGCTGCGGATTGAGAAAGATATTACAACTACCTGAAATGCAAACAGAACTTACATCTTTCTGGTGAAGCCCCTTGATCGGAAGGCGAAAGCCCTCCACTCATCGGCGTGCACGGAGTGTCTCAAAAACAATGCAATAGCTGTGTTCCATTTCTTATACAGTCAATTATTAGTAAGCATTGAAAAATCTAAGATATTAATTTTGACACTAAGATTATTAGTAACGAGGGTCTCCCAAGGATTATTCCTAGGGAGCAAGGCAGATTTTGCAATGGAAACACAATATCTGGACCACAGCTGGTGCATTTTTTGGGCAGACACCCTGTAAAATGTAATCCTGTTACTTCGATTAAATGTTATACTAGCATATTTTGTCTCTTGTATAAAGCTCCATACAGACGAGCAATTTTCCTTGACACTTTTTATTTGCCGGTTGTAGAATGGTTCCAACAACTGTTCTTGTGGAATGTTAAGATCCGAGCAAAAAAGTGAGAGGGGGTTACAATGTCTGGAATAACGATAAAATATTATATGTGAAAGGTTATACAATTTTTCATCAAAACTCGTCTCGAAATGTGGGAAATTTTGTTCTGGATACACTTGAAATTCAAAATTTCTGAGGGAGGATGCCCCCGACCTGCCTCCTTCGCAGGCCCTCGTTGCGTCAAGCTACGTTTACACGCTACGATTAATCGGGTACGATTCGTTTTCTGGCGTGTGTCATTGAGTAAACACCCACACGCGTAAGCTGGCTACATTTGAAATTTCTTTTTAACGAAACGACAATGAATTATGGCGCCAGCACTCATTTTAATACGCCAGAATACGAATCGCACACGACAAATCGTAGCGTGTAAACTTAGCTTAAAGATGATGTCCACTCCGTTCTGCGCATCAGTTCTGCTTATAACAAATGGAGACCCCCAGATATAAACATTGCCCAAATTTTGCATCTTTCGAACTTTTTTGAATTGAAACGTAGAGTTTATATTCATTTGCAAGCATGGCGAACCAGAAAAGTGTTAGATATTCAGTTAGTATATCATATTTTACAAATATAGCAGTTCAAAACGTAAACAAAGTTCGCACATGCGCACACGAGTGTACATCATCTTTAATAGGAAGGTCATGTACAATCTGGCGAGGGCCTGCGGAATCTTGTAAAAAATGGTGAAAGACGAGGCGACAGCCAAGTTGAATGGAACATTCCATCTTTCACCGAATGAAAATATTCTTACCATTGCACGAATAAACATTGATTATTTGTTTTCTATAATACCAAAATAGACTAATAGATTCGTATGAGAAGCATTTTGACGGATGCGATTTATCGAAAGCACAAAGAGTGCAACGGAATAAAACGTATAGTACAATTGCACTCGCAAAGAGTGCAATGGAACGTATTACATTGCACTTTTGGGAAATGGAATTTTCTATTCAATATCACATATCATATGTTGTCCACACCAACGTTGCACGGATAAAACTGCCTTCTTTAACGAAGCAGGTTTAGAACAACATTCATTTTCCAAGATTCCGCAGGCCCTCTCGAAATCGTGAGCTTCCCATGACTCAACGAGGGCCTGCAGAGGAAGCAGGCCCCCGACCCCCTAGGCCCTAGCGTTGTCAGGAATTGAATATTGATTGCTCCCTCCCCCAAGTCAAGACCCTGGCTACTCAACTTTTTCCTCTTCATTGCACGACAGAGACTTAATTGCTGAAGAAATAGATCTTGTCAAAGAAAGATTGCTTACCAGTTCGTCTGTATGAGGCTTTTAATATCATTTTTAAAATATTTTTGAAATATAAATATTTTTCGTTCTTTTTGAACAACATTTTTCATACTTAAATGTTATGCTGAGCCTAATAATGTTTTTTAAGACTGACTCAGTTGAAAAACGTATAATATATTAAATATATATTTTTACACCTGTTGTAAAAAATGTACATAATTAGAATGTAGGGGTATTGAAATGGACTGTATATATATGAATGATCTCCAGAGCCTTCTCCAGTGGAATATAAATAACCATATATATTCGTACTAATTTCCCATGTTCATGGACGTATGTACGTGGATACAGCTTTTTAACGCCAATGTCGATTGCCTGGAAGACGACCACTTTCACATTTATTTGAAATTCATAAATCCCAACAAAAAACAAAGACGACATACCAGCACCTACGGGCTACGGCTACGAACTAAAATGAGGTGAAGTTCACCCTTATCACCAACGCATCGACTCCGTATATCTCAAACCTTTTCTTTGCTTCACCAAAGACAGAAATTCAGAATATATTACTTGACATAATTTGGAAGAATGTCTTGAAAAATATATTCGACGTTTCATTTGACGTTGTCAGTTTAAATTGTGTACAAAAATGCCTCGCGGTTTCATTGGAGTTAGTTTCATAACAGTTATTGGATACCGGTACAGAAAATTGCAGAATAGTTCTCTTCAACCATGTTAAATTAGAAAGAATTCACCCTGCGCGAAATTTTACTTGTTTTTCTGAAAAACACTTTTCATTTCAAGATCACACCATTATCAGCACATTACCAAGAAATATGCTATACCAATATTCTAGTTATGGGAACGAATATGGCTCGGTGAATACAGCGTGTTACTATATAGTCTTGGTTTTGAAATGCATCATCAGTGTGAGCACGGGTGTGAGGATACTTTAGCGGTGAAGGAAAAAACAATTCTTCAAACATTTCGAAATGTGCCTGAATCTTGGACTTGGCCCTTGCCCTTGGATGATTACGTTACACTTCCAATTGGAACAAATTCGAGTATATACTGTAACCTCGCGAAGCGAGATGTGGACTTTTTCTGCTGAACATTTTTCAGGAGGTATTAGTACTAGAAATTCAATAACGAATTTACACGTCAAGGCACATAATCCGCGTCTACTTATCAAACAAGAGTGAACATTTCAAAATGCATCCGGGGTATTACCTTCTTAAAATAATGTAACCTTAAACCCAATGTTCCAACATCCGATTCCAACAAACCTTAAAAGCCTACGGACCTCTGGGAAAGACGTGAAACAAAACTTAAATAAGTTTAATTAGAACATTGTTAAATATACTATTCAAAGAATGAACTGATTTATACCAGAGCAAGTTTATATTTATTACTAAATAGCTAAAATCTTGAAATTTGTACACCAAATAGCGTTTTACAATAGCTTCAGTTTCATACAGCTATTTCAATTAACACGAGCAAAGCGGAAAAGTCGAATACGAGCGCGAAAGGCTGCTGGGAATCGCTATAAAAATTCGTTAACTTTTATAGCGATTCCCAGCAGCCTTTCGCGCTCGTATTCGACTTTTCCGCTTTTGCTCGTGGAACAGCCTTAATGGACCACTTTGGCGGTTTGGTTATAATTCCATGACACGCAGTCACCAAATATATTAGCATAATTAGGACCCAACCCCCTATGAATAGTGGTAACACGGTTCTTTGGTTGTATAGTTCCACAGCACTACGGTAATGTGGTACTACGGTATTGTGGTACTACGGTACTGTGGTATTTTGGTACTGTTGTATTTTGGTACTACGGTACTCTGGTACTGTGGTACTACGGTACTGTGGTACTACCGTACTGTGGTATTACGGTACTACGGTACTGTGGTATTTTGGTACCATGGTACTACGGTATTGTGGTACTACGGTAATGTGGTACTGTGGTATTGTTGTACTACGGTATTGTGGTACTACGGTATTGTGGTACTACGGTATTGGGGTACTGTGGTATTGTGGTACTGTGGTATTGTGGTACTGTGTTACTACGGTACTGTGGTATTGTGGTACTGTGGTATTGCGGTACTACGGTACTGTGGTACTACGCTACTGTGGTACTACGGTACTGTACGTGGTATTGGAGTTCTGTGGTATTGTTGTACTACGGTACCGTGGTACTACGGTACTGTGGACTACGGTATTGTGGTATTGTGGTATTGCGGTGCTAGGGTATTGTGGTACTACGGTACTGTGGTATTGGGGTACTGTGGTATTGTGGTACTATGGTACTGTGTTACAATAACGTAGTACCACAATAACGTAGTACCACATTACCGTAGTACCACGGTACCGTAGTACCACAGTACCGTAGTACCCCAATACCACAATACCGTAGTACCACAATTCCACGGTACCATAGTACCTACCATAGTACCACAGTACTACAATACCACGGTACTTAGTACAACAATACTGTAGTACCACAGTACCATAGTACCACAATACCGCACAGGGCCGTAGCGAGGGGGGGGGGGGGGGGTTAACCCCCCAACTTTTGTAGAATTAACATATTCGGAAAATCGGGTTGTCCATTCGGAAAATTACGGCAATAATAGTATAACAAAATTTTAGTTGTTTAAAATATTTAAACAGAGAAAATATTATAAAATGGTATTGTCAGTATAAACCATTGGTATAAACTGATTTACGAAATCACGGCATTTACATGGATAACGTAAAACAAATCGTAAATCTAATAAATGTTTTTCGGTTTATTACTTCTAAGGGCCGTAGCAGGAGGGGGGAGGGGGGGAATCATTCTTTTTCAAAATCATGCACACCTTTATCATTTAAATAATATACCTTTAAAATACTGACAAACTAGAGGTGTGCATCGGATCGGATTGGACGTTTATAATCCGACCGATGTTTAAAATCCGATCCGAAATTGTCTAATCCGAATCCGATCCGAGGTTTGAAAAAGAATTCCAATCCGATCCGAAGAATTCTTTAATAAAATAAATTTCTCATTCAAGTTGAAATATTTAACCAAATAAATATAAAAGCGAGAAATACATGTCAAGAAGCTGACAAAGTGACGTCCAATTGAAGTATCAAACGAAAACCGCGATGATACTTTGATAAATGTATGGATAATTAATTCTTGCGATAATGCATGGATAATTATTTATTTCAATTTCGGATATCGAAGTCCGATCCAACTACGAAACAACTTTATCAATCCGATCCGAAATTTACATTTTGGTTCCGAAATCCGAACGAATCCGATCGGATTCGGATCGGATTTGCACACCTCTACAATAGACCTTAATTTCCCCATTTGAGTGAAATTTTGATCTAGACAAGCCTGGACAAAAATATCACCACAGCTTGAAAGAGCATCACAAAATTAGTAATATTCCGAAGTTTCGTTGAATGTTGTAAAATGGGGATAATATAGCCTTGCGAAGTTTGCCGTTTTTCAGTCATTTTGCATTACAAACGGGAAATTGATAATCTGATGATCAAACTGATTATCAATTTCCCATTTGTAATACAATAACTGAAAAACGGCAAAGTTCACAAGGGTATATTATCCGCATTTTACAACATTTCGCAACGAAACTTCGGAATATTACTAATTTTGTGATGCTCTTTCAAGCTGTGATGAAATTTTTGTTTAGGCTTGTCTAGATCAAAATTTCACTCATAAGGGGAAAGGTCTATTGATTAATTTTAAGCGGCTACATTATCCATGACAAACCGCAAAGAATCATATTACCTATATTCTTTCCTGCAATATATAGTTAATTAAATACGCCTTCGCCCATTTAGTTCTACTAAATTGTAAGCAAATTGTAAATTTCGACATACTAAAACTTTATTAACAACTCGAACCGACTTGACCACGTAGCTCAGTTGGCAGAACATTGGACCAGTATCCCAAAGATCGCGGGTTCGACTCCCACCGTGGCCAAGCAAACTTTTCAGCCATCTTCGTCCCCAGGCCCAAGCTCGGGCGGCCCTCACAGTGGGGGCCGCCCGAGCTCGGGCCTGGGGACGAGGATGACTTTTCAGCTTGCCTGCTGTGGATGCATACTCAGAGTAACGTCACAAATATCACACTAAAACTGCGTTTTCTGACCATCAGAATTCTGTCAAAACTTCCCCAAAGTCCAGGAAATGGCATTTCAGAGAATCTAAATTTAAAAATTTCCTCGGGCCTTCGGCCCTCGTTCCCAGCCCCCAATAAAAAAGAGCTTCCTACGGCCATGAAATATTCGGAAATTTTCTTCGTCATTCGGAAATTTTTGGCCTACCCCAACTATACATGCTAGCTACGGCCCTGATACTGCAATACCACAGTACCGTAGTACCACAGTACCTACCATAGTACCACAGTACTACAATACCACAGTACTTAGTACCACAATACTGTAGTACCACAGTACCGTAGTACCACAGTACCACAATACCACAGTACCGTAGTACCACAGTACCACATTACCGTAGTGCTGTGGAATTAGACAGGTTCAGATTTGACTTCCACTACCGCTACCTCTACCATTTAATAAGGGACCATCAACCAATCAGATACGCTTGATATATCCGATTAATCAATCAGATGCATACTAAGTCAGTGAGAGGTAGTGGTAGCGGTAGTGGAAGTCAAATCTGAACCTGTCTACTATACAACCAAAGAAGAATCGTGTTACCACTATTCATAGGGGGTTGGGTCCTAATTATGCTAATATATTTGGTGATGCGTGTTGTGTCATGGAATTATATTAACCGATTCGAAGCAATTGGAAGCAACATGGCGCATGAAACGAGCTTTATAATGGGGTATAGTGACAGCGAAGACGATTTATACAATGATATGTTTGATAGTGATTGTGAAGGAATGTCATCAGCAGAAGAACTTGATTTGGAATTAGGATTGTTTGACGATAATTCAAGGCAAGTTTTGAGGCGGTTTGGCAGGTTTATTATAAAACGTCATGTTTAAATTTGAAAACTGAAATGAAGGAACAGGGTAAACAACAATTTGCATGTACAATGTTCTATAAAAAAACAAGACGCCTGCTCAGGCGTTCACACTGGCCTGAAAATGGCAACTTTCGTGGTAGGGTGTAATGTGTAGTAGAGAAGTAGATAGGGATACAGGATCGAGGTCTGGAGTCTGGACCATATAAACACAACCAATAAATACAATCGTGATGACGTGATATGCAACTATCAACCATAATATACCAAGACGCCAGCTCAGGTGTACCCTTCGGCTACAGGCAACTCAACCTGACAAGCCAGGCCCACTGTAACTATGATCATCAACCGTAAATAATGTAGGCCAATAATAGCGAAGAAATTATATAGTCCTTGATTTTTAATGCCATTATATGGCTAGTTTCAGGTGCTAAAAAGTTCATAGTGGATACCAGCATCATAGAATCTAGTATCCATCCTTGAAATATAGTAACCCAGATTTGGATACTAGATATTCTATTTCCAGTATCTAAGCAAGGCAAAATTTTACCTTGCAACCAGGCCTTCAGTTGCTGAGCAAAAACCAGGCCTTTAGTTTCAATAATAAAAATATGTATTGAAATTCGAAAAAATTGAAAATAACAAACTGTGGCAATACGAAAGAAAGCACTGTTTGTGAAATTTTTTTTTAAAATATTCTGCCAAAATCTGTAGACATTGAAGTTCGGAAACATGCCGAATGTCTAGATGATTATCTACTATCACAATTTCTAAGTTTTCCTAGTATCCAGTTGGGATACTGAGCTTATGATACCCAGTATCCAAAATTAAAATCTGATATCCTGTGGATATCGGGATACCGCAAGTTTCGAGTCCTGAAAAATGTACCACAAGCATGGCATGAGCCGGCTATTACGTATATAAATACGAGGTTGTTACTATAATAGTATCTAAATCAAGGAACCGAGGGGGAATCGATGGCATTTTGGCTTAATTGTTGCATCAATGTCTTCCACCAACGGGGGGAGTACGGGCATACCCAGGGGCAATTGACATTTTCAAGAATTGTTTGTCAATATTCCTCTCTCAAAGGCAGCATATAGAACTGTCAATTAATGTTGAATGTCCCTGAGTCATGAAGAGATTGAAAGACCAACACATATATTATAAACTTGACACAAATTTTATCCACAACAGTTGATATTTGTGGTACCCTGCTGGCAGTGGTTTCTCAGCCTGCTCGCAGCCTGAAATTTAGAAGGGGAAAATTTCAGTCTGCTGAAATTCGGGCTTAATCGTGTACAGTGACGTAGTCACTTACGGAAATTTAAGTAACTGTTTGTGATTGGCTGGTCTACATAAGCAATATATCAAACGTTATGATTGGCTTGTTCATTAAATTATTCTTGAATTAATTTTTTTGTATTTGCAAACATGGCGGCGCTGAGACACTCTCACAATATTCCTGATATCGTTGGGATACTGCTTTACGTATTGCATGTTCTACGTTTAATTTAAATGAATTTTATCCTGAACAAATAGAGGGAGGCGTTGCAGGCATACTTTTCAGGCCAACATGTGTATGTGAACTTGCCTACTTTGTTTGGAAAGTCCTTGATCTTTCAAGCAGTCCCGTTGATTTATGACATCGTAAAACTTCGAGCGAAAGGCACAAGTATTATGGTCGTAATTTCTCCTTTAAAATCACTCATGGAAGAACAGGTTTCATTCTTAAAGGAATTAGGAATACCTGCCGTTTGTATTACGGATGAATCGAAAGACAATGTAATAGAAGCCATGATGCAAGGGCGATATTCTCATGTATATGCCTCTCCCGAGTGTCTCCTTTCCACTAACAAGTGGAGAGGAATATTTGCTTATAAAGCGTTCGTAGAAAATCTTGTTGGAGTTGCTGTAGACGAAGCACACTGTATTGACCAGTGGTAAGTCTATTACTGAAGTCTTTATTATTTATATTATCAACAGTGACAATCAATACTTCTTCCCAATCAATACTTTATTATTCTTCCCAGATCCATTCTTCCAAATGATTGAAATATTAAGCACTTCAAATTAAGAAAATTTGGAGTACACTAGTGTTTATGCTGCTAATTTAAGCACACAAGTGAAAGTCCGTTTTCAGGGGCTGATTATATAGAGGTGAGTTACCCGGCTACATGAGTTGAAAACTACATATAATGAAAGACTAATGATCTAAACCTTTTGATCAACTCGCTTAGCCGGGTAACTTGCCTCGATATAATAAGGGCCTTAGCTTCCATAATTATTGTCAACATTTGAATGATTTGTTTAAACTGGAGAGTTACATTTCACCCACCCCTCCCTTAAGTTTGCCCCCAGTCAATATGGTATGCTTGTCGGTATGGTATGGTATGCAGGGCTGCCCAGAGGTTGGCGGGGGCCCGGGGCAAATTTTTTTTTAGGGGCCCTTATCTAAAAAAATTTTCCCGGAAAAATTTTTTTCCGGATAACAACCTTCCCCCCCCCCCCCCCCCCCCCCCATCGCCAAAAAATTTTTGGTCAGTGTACCATTTTAGGGGTAAAAAATTTTCTCCGGAGTACAAAATTTTGCCGGACGAGTACGTTGCAAATGCTTTCGAGGAACTTTATCTCATTTTTTTATGCCAAAATTCGGTACTTAGCCCAAGAAAACAGATATCTTGTCCTTTGCGCGGAAATATTTAACACACAAAAAAGGCTGGGGCCCTACAAAAATTTTTCAGGGGCCCCCAGCAACTCGGGGCCCGGGGCAATTTGCCCCCTTTGCCCCTCCATCTGGGCGGCCCTGTAACCCACCCTGACAACTTTCTCTAATAAAGAAGTGGAGTTCATAAAAAATTCGAAATGTGGAGTATATATATTTCACTTGTACAGATATTATGAAATATAATATTTAAGATTCAGTGTAAAACTGATAAAAAATGCTATATTTGATCTAAAACCTACCTTCTATAGATTATAAAACAACAAGGGGGAGACTGACAAATACATATAAAAGTAACAGCAAACATGTACATTTGAAACATACACAAATGTGGGAAAACCTTCACAGTTCATGGTCGCATGCAAATGGTAGAAGCACCGATGCAAAGATGATTCAATTAATACAAAGACAGCTACAGTAACACACCTTTTGTATTGTATTTATTAGTAGGCAAACAAGATTGTGATTTCTACTCAGAAATATTGAAGCAGCCAGATAACCTAATAAAATTAAAATACTGGATTACTTTTGCATGGTCATCATTTAAAAAAAGCTACATTGGTTTATTTTGTTACATACCAGTTTTCTTGTCTAAGAGCGCAGATTGTTCCGCATATTTGATCGCGTTGATATAACCAAATGAAGCATCATGGCCGAGCATTTCACAGTAAATTAATCGAATCAATAACTCTCTGATCTGCTTCTAAATAACAATATAATATAACATACAGTAAGTATAGGATTGCCTATCCATATATATCTGTCCACATTTGTATGTCATTCCACCCAATTTTGTCAGAATGTAAAAGTTATAGTAATCTTCTTACAACTGACCATCTCGCTGATTATCATGCAATAATAGGCTGATTACATATTATGTCAAAATGGCCAATTAATTACCTCATCTTTAGTTTTAATATAATTATAATTAGTTGTAATTTAACTTAATTAATCTAGTTGTAATTTAACTTAATTAGTATAGCTCAATAGGTTTAATACAGAACCTCACTGATAACGGAGCTCTATAATACTCAGATGAGTTTATCCTGAATAAATATTCATATAATAATAATCAATAATAATAATATGTCTATCATATTTTCCAGTTTATATGCCATTTTGTTGTGTATCGACATTGAACTTACAGCTGTTAATTTTGAAGATCTAAGATGGTCCTTGAGACTCACAAGTTCTTTCCTCACAATTTTATCTTCTTCCTACAGTATATTTAAGAAACGATTTAAAATGGTTTTGTAAATTCCGGAACGCCATTTAAATTAATCAAATAAATTTACTCATATACTTACATGCTTGGTCTTTGCAGCCGCAATGCCGTGTAATAAAGCCTGAAATCCCTTGGATCTCTGCCCATGTACAACGACGAATCCTAGATGATGTCCGATTTCTGGAAGGCCAATCGAAAATTCGCCCATTGTAATTGTTTTAGTTCTATTAAAGTTCTAAACAACAAGTTCTATCACGGATCTTTTTCGCGAGACGAAAGCAGAAGGGAATAAACACGCGGCATATCTAGTTTCAAGTTTTGTTTCCAAGAAAAAGAGTCCGAATCGTTTATGATCATATTTCACAAATAAACTCTCACTCATTTCACCGCCATTTTGAAAGTTGAATATGATCTCAAACCGGAAGTTGGCAACGCCACTTTGGGATAATTGAAATTGCGCAGGCGCTAAGCCAAATGTGGTTTCTAAAATTTGTGCAAAAAGCCAAAAACCTAAAACATCACTACCGCAGAAAACCCTTGACTGACAAAAAAGTACTTTATATGTCTTTATTTGTGCCCAGAGGAACCGGAACCGGCTTCTGTCGTGTTCGGTGGGTCGCACCGGAAACGCTCTTCAAAGGCAAATTCGTAATTTGTAAAAAAACAGAATATTGCAACAATTATTTCCAGAAGCCCGGTTACAGAGTCACATGCAAGAGTCACATGCACTTTAACCATTGTGCTGCAACACCCAAATTTGCTCTCTTTATTGCTGGATATTCGCTCGTCTGTATATATTACGCTGCCAATGTTCTTATATGGAATACAAAATGATAAATGCATAATCAAGCTAGTTTTATTCATACCATTTTAGTAAAATTTCCTTCTTGGCAAAACTGAGCAACGGCAGAATGTATGCAATGCTTTTACTTTGCAATGTATAGTGGCTTCGTCACGTACTTAATGCATGAGAGTTAGCAGTCACGCGATCTTAGCTGTTCTTAATACTTTTCCAATATATCGTGTGTTCTAATACCATATTTGAAACATAGTTGGAACACTCATTAAACTTTAAATAATTTTGTTAACTTAGGCTCCGTTTACATGAGAGGGGAACGAAGTGAAATCGGGGGCGCTTTCCATTTAATGGCCTGACCGGTTAGACCAAAATTCTTTTCTCTGTATCGATGGAAAGATCTGGTCTATGTTTCTCAAATATCTAGCGAAAATGGACCTCATTCTAATGACTAATGTTATCTAAATTTTCCGGTCAGATAGGATAGGTCGGAAGCACAAATGTTTTGTATTCCATTGGAATAATCCATTCAACAATTTGACCCGCCGGCGTTCTGACCGGTCTGGCCGTGTTAATGGAAAGCGCCCCGGCCGACCATTTCGTTTCGGTCATAGTATTATTTATACTAGATGTTTACATGAGATCGGGACGAAAATGACTCAGCCGGACCGGTCTCAAGACCGAGCCGACTGACTTCAGACCGGCATGAATTCAGACTGGGATGAATGTAAACACAAAGACATTTCAGACCGGTCTCGGCTGTAACCAGCTAGGAACAAAACATGCAAACAAAAGCCATCTAAAAAAGAAAATTGCTGGCAAGTGGAATAAAGTGAAAATTTTGTGATTTTCGTACCGTTCTCATGTAAACGTGTTGATAATTTCAATTTTCATTCCGGTTTGACTTCGTCCCGGTCTCATGTAAACGGGGCCTAAATCTAGAGCTTGAAATGGTCCTTGTGACAATTTGTGACTGCATGCCAACTCTCATCTTATTGCCGTATTTAGGCAGTGTTTAATTTGACGCAAACTTAACTTTTGGCTTCGAATTCGAGTTTGTATTCCGGTCAGTATTGTACAGTTATAACTGACATATTAAAGCGTCTCCTTAAATGGCCAAAGGCAAAGTAGCTTGCTATTCAGAACTATTAAGTTGTAACATCAGCCAACACTGAACTGAAGACTTTTTCTGCAATATATATATATATATATATACTATTTAAAGCACGCGTAGGAGTGTTTTATCACATATAAAACACGACGCGTAGCGGAGTGTTTTATATGTGATAAAACACGACTACAAGTGTTTTAAATAGCTTAAAAAACGACTCATCTTATACGAGTTCATTGGCGAAGTAATTTTTAAAATAAACTTTGTCTAAACCGAGAAAATCAAAGCTAAAGTTTATGTAAATTAACGTGATTTTTATCACATATAAAACCACGACACGCTTATGATTTTTCTTTGTGTTTTGCTCCTGAATTATTAATGAGTTTTTTAAATATATATATATATATATATATATATATATATATATATATATATATATATATATATATATATATATATATATATATATATATATATTTATATATATATAAATTTTTATATATATATATATATAGATATATATATATATATATATATTTATATATATATATATATATATATATATATATATATATATATATATATATATATATATATATATATATTTGGTTTCGTTGGTTATAAAAACTTTTGGTAAAGTGCTCAATGGAAAACCAGAGCATATTTAAATTAAGGTACAACAATCAACAAAATCCACTATATAAAGATGCCTATAGTGGATTTTGTTGATTGTTGTACCTTGCAAACCTTACAGTCTCTAAACTTTAAACCTTAAACTCTAAGCGTGCAACGCATGATAATGGGAGCATCATTTAATCAGTTTAGAAATCATATATGGGGCCCATTTCTTAGAGACATGGTAAATATCTCTAATTTACGAGAACAATTCATTCACAAATAGCTGCAATATTCAACTACTAAGCTTCAAACTTGTGCTCCCATTAAGCTTTGCGCGCTTAGAGTTTCAAGGTTTAGAGTTAACTTTGCAAAGTCAAAGGACAACTCCTTTTTTGAATTGGTTGTATATATGGCGCAGTGCATTTTTCTTAACCATTCCTTGTTAGGTATTAAAAGCCCAACATCCAGTTCCATGAGTATTTGATTACTCGAATTTAGTGTTTCTCTTAGACTGATAGTCGCCGGCTCGATATGGTACTGCCAGCAGACAGCCAGAGCAGCCGAGAATTTGATACATGCATGTTTTGTAAACAAAATGCAAAGCATTTAAGCAATGAAAATAGACATATGAAAACATCGAACTGAAAAGATGTTTTTTTGTTTCGGGGACAAAATTTACTTCCTATAACTTATCGACTTTAATACTATCAACAATAGCTATATTTAATTGCAGCCAGCTCTCACACTTGGCGCGATTAATCAGCCACTGATTACGAAAATCTTCCCGATAAACGTTCAGTAATTGTAACTAGCTATATCATTCAACTAGATTATTGGCCCTATAAATTTGTATTCTCGGTCGAAAACTTGCGTCCTTTCAACATGTGTTTTTGTTTACTAAATGTATTATAACAATATTTAATTATAATAATTTTAATTAACCATTAGCACACCTGTGTGAATTATTGCTGACTGTACTCGGAAAATTATGAAAAAATAAAATTAAAATGATCTTCGATCGTCCACAAAATATATTGAGACTTTTGGAATTCCACTCCCCCCTTCCCCTGTTTCATGCACGCAATGTTGAAATGCTATTATTCTCCTGACAGAGATATAGCTAAACACGACCCACCAACCACAACTATCCTACTGGCATTCAAAATAATAATGCATGATATTTGAAAATAACAATTATAATTCATTTCTTTAATAGATAATAGTAATGATTTAGTGGGACACATATTAATTCATAGAAGGTGGAAGTTATCTCTATAAAAAAATCTCAGAAATTAGACCAAAATTTTAACTATACATTTTATTATGATTAATTCTTAGAATGTTCCTTTTCAGTAAGGGGTGTTTGTCGGATGCTCAGCACGTATGTTTTATTTTTAGTTTTTTCTAACGCTCTCTACTCGAGGAATATTATTTTAAACATTAAGCGTTTCCATGCAGGCGAAACATGATTGGTGGAGTTATTTAAAGATTCGAAAAGGTAAATTGCGTCCTCTTTTTCGGCTATTTTAGTACTTGTTTAAAGCTCTCTTTATTTCATAAACTTGAAGAATTCTAATAATTAAATTCCTGGTCAAACGAGAATAAAAGTGTCACGAATTGTTATAGAGGGGAGATTTCAAAGCTTTAGATTAACAAAATAACGCGGCGGTAATAATATATCCAGTCAACTTCTCATCCACTCTAATGCAACCCTTGTTCTCATTTGATTGCATGGGGATTGGGGAATGAGAGTTGAGAAAACTCTCATGAACACATTTCATGTTTCTCGACTCCGTCAGTCACATGATAGCGTTGGGAAAGCATTAAGAACAGCTAACCAAGATCGCGTGATTTCCTGGCTAAAATTGAATAGTAAATCGTTCATCTGCATTCGACTCGCTTATAATTATTATTGCCAACTGCCAGGTTTTTCGCTATTGTAAATCTTGCTAGCTCCACATAAACATACTGATGTCATTATTTTAGCATTTTATAAGAATTCTAAAACTACTTTTATTTGCGCAAATTTCGCATGTACAAATATCGAATTATTTTCACATTATCGAAACTCTTATATATAATCACCAGAAATCATTCATCTGTGTTAACCTCAAGTGATATTAATTGCTTGTTTTCTCAAGTGTTTGGCAAGGATGTAGCTATTATGCTTTCGATAACATGTGAACAGCAAACCGTATTATGCCAAACACTGAGTGATTTTTCCGGTTATAAGGTGTTAGGTTTCGCCATCCAAGCAAGATATAAAACCGCATTCATTTTCGCAGAGACAAACCTAACTAGCTTAACATCGCTTGAGGCTCGTCGAAGTATAGTCATTGAGAAGATCGCTTTGTTTGGATTCTTTGCACAAGAAATTACATCCTAACGCCGACGGAGTCGGTGATAATGATTTTAAATATAGTATGGGGAACGGTCTTGGTTGTAAACCTATTTTCAACGCAGATGGTGAAAGGTTCTGAACAACCGAAGGTGATTTTACTTCTATTCTTATATACTTCTGTTGTTTTTAATTATACCGTTTTCCTTCTTGCCTCTCTGAGCGTTTTTGTTAAACTGGTAGTTTTATTAACGGCGCGCGACATTTTTATTTTGTACAGACGCCAAGTTACTCGACTCCCGAAGAAAAACAAGGTGGGTATTATTTAATGTTATAAAGACTTTTTTACGAACCACGGTCATTTGAAGTGTCGCTTCGCTTCGATAGCGTTCCAATGTTATATGGCATGATTTGAACATGAATGCTTATCGAATCTTGATCTTCGAAATCATATTGTGTTATTTTATTACGTTCCACTGATCCAATTTGCGCCAAATTCGATTATACGGTTAATAATGCTCATCTACATTTTCATGCTTGAATGTGTACAGAACAGCCCGCATATAAATCCGACTTATATTTTGTTATAATTGAACACTCTACCGTTTATCAAACCGTCTTCATAAGAATTTATATCTCATTGTTTACCCGATTAATTTTTTTCAAATTTGCGTCAAATTCCGAGATTATATACGCGCAAGTTAAATCCATCCACTACAGTCGGTATATTGGCCTAGGTGGAAGACTATTCTTAGGTGAATGAAGAATCCCAAATATGAGAGCATTCTTAACACTTGTGGAAAATATAAATAGTTATAAGTGTACAAATATATAATATACTAGTTGAATTCTGTCCTATATTATTACTGTCTGCCCGTATTATTTACGTTCATGATTTAATCCATGATCATTTGTACATAAATTAATACAGCTGTTATTTTTATGATTCTAAAATAATACGAATGCTGTTGATTTAGAAGAAAAAAACATCGTCATTTGTCTGTATTTAAGTGTATTACCTATATTCATAAATATCAGATTTGCATCGTAGCTTTATATATTAATGAATAATGTGCTCTTCAATTTCACAATTTTACGGTTAAATACTCAGGCCTTCATTATATTGCAACCGTAGTATGTTATCAGTAAAGGCCATTAGTCTAGGTATAAACACATATCCATCATAATGTATCGCTATTCAAAATATAGCTACGAAAGCTTCATCATGCGTCGTGGCCGTAATACCCTTACGTGCGTAGACACTTTAATAATACTGACGCAAAATCTGCGCGCGGCGCCTTCCCGCGGGCGACTGCGAATCAATTCGTGCGAGACTCGACTATCAATTCTATCATGACCTGTTAAACGTCTGTTGCAGCAAACAAAACCTTTGGTGTCATTTAGAATGCGTAAAATATGATCACTACGCGAAGTTCGTACTCGCTGGCTAATCGCTTTGAGGAATTTTAGCTAACAGACAACGTGATAAATTGACCTACGCCATCGATTCCAGTTTCCGTCTGTAGTAACACTGGGCCAACCTCAATGCAAACATTTAATGGCGACCTTTAATACGTCCTGAAGCTCTAAGGAGAACATTTTAAGAAATGATACAGTTATCCAATACAAATAGAGTTACTTTTGGTGGATGGGTTTTATAGATTGGGAATTTTGAGTGTGGATTATCAAATTATATTATCTATTTATCTACAATTATATTTATATCGAGTGCACGTAAGTGCCCAAAATCCTGAGCGTTACTCTAAGTATAACTTTGGAATAACCTCTAGTCTATGACATATTTCCTATACGTTAACCGTATTGATACATAACACAAAGGGTCATATAGATATGTATCCATTGTTTCGTGGTTGTTATTTGACATCATAACTTAATTGCCCTAGCGCTGTCGGAGTTATCCTTTCGTAAATAAAATTATCTGGACCACAATAGAATATAAAAAAGGATACTTGAGTTTGCGGTAGGGCGAGGCGATTTTCACAAGAGATGTGTTTTTCTTAAAAAAATATTTGCGCGCAACCCCGTCAGGGTGACTCCAATTTTTGCATAATCATGGTTATCATGCTAATACGATATACGGCTTATCATGCAATACAATGGAAGATTTATCAAAGATTATAAACAATTAGTATAATGCTTTAAAATCTGTGTTAACTGTTCCAAATAGTGCTAATAGACGAAATAGTGTAATTGAGAATTTTCGCCTGAAGATTATCGTACAAAAAATAAATCTATACTTCCGTCAAAAGGATTTAAGCATGCCTGATTTGTCGTGCATCTAAAACTAAGTCATAAATCATGACTCTGATTAATGACCATATCTCAAACGCGGGGGTCCAGAACACAGGTAGTATACTCTACAATATTTAATAAGCTGTCGTGGTTTGTGTCTGCACGAATTAACTGCCTGAAAAAAATATCTCAAGTGCCCAAAGTAGGTGTTGTTGTTTGTGTCTCAACTACCTGAAAAAAATATCTCAAGAGTCCAGTGTAGATAGTGTTCTACTAAATATTATAAAACTGTTAGTTATGATTTGTGTCTGAACTACCTGAAAAAGATATCTCAAAGGTGGTGGTCCAGTGTAGGTAGTATTCTTCAATAAGCTGTCGTGATTTGTGTCTGAAGGAACTACCTGAAAACGATACCTCAAACGTGGTGGCCCAGTGTAGGTATAGTATTCTTCAATAAGCTGTCGTGACAGTCGTAGTTTGTGTCTGAACTACCTGAAAAAGATATCTCAAAGGTGGTGGTCCAGTGTAGGTAGTATTCTTCAATAAGCTGTCGTGATTTGTATCTGAAGGAACTACCTGAAAACGATACCTCAAATGTGGTGGCCCAGTGTAGGTATAGTATTCTTCAATAAGCTGTCGTGACAGTCGTAGTTTGTGTCTGAACTACCTGAAAAAGATATCTCAAAGGTGGTGGTCCAGTGTAGGTAGTATTCTTCAATAAGCTGTCGTGATTTGTATCTGAAGGAACTACCTGAAAACGATACCTCAAATGTGGTGGCCCAGTGTAGGTATAGTATTCTTCAATAAGCTGTCGTGACAGTCGTAGTTTGTGTCTGAACTACCTGAAAAAGATATCTCAAAGGTGGTGGTCCAGTGTAGGTAGTATTCTTCAATAAGCTGTCGTGATTTGTATCTGAAGGAACTACCTGAAAACGATACCTCAAATGTGGTGGCCCAGTGTAGGTATAGTATTCTTCAATAAGCTGTCGTGACAGTCGTAGTTTGTGTCTGAACTACCTGAAAAAGATATCTCAAAGGTGGTGGTCCAGTGTAGGTAGTATTCTTCAATAAGCTGTCGTGATTTGTATCTGAAGGAACTACCTGAAAACGATACCTCAAATGTGGTGGCCCAGTGTAGGTATAGTATTCTTCAATAAGCTGTCGTGAG